AAATACTGAGAAATCGGCTCTCCCGCTCATTGAAGAAAACCTTCCCTGCAGCTGAATTACGACTGACGTTCTCCACGAGACCAATGATTCGTATGAACGTGAAGGATAAGCTACCGCTGTTGGCCTCATCTATGTGCATCTACCAATTCACCTGCTCGTGTGGAGCCAGGTATATCGGCCGTACTCAGCGTTCGCTATCCAAACGCGTCAACGAACATTTACCCTCATGGTTTTATAAAGGAGAAAACCGATGCCCCCGCAGCTCGATCCTTGAACATTTGATCGACTCTGGACACCAAGTCAAACCAGAAATAAACTTCAAAGTTATCTACAGAATACAAGGCAATCTTGCTAAAAGTGTACGGATCAAACTTCTCCACATCGCAGAAGCAATGGCAATTCATCTGCTAAATCCTGAACTCTGCATACAAAAGAAATTCGTTCATTCATTAAATCTACAATGGACGTAATCTTTCTTAACTTCAGTCTTACTAATTGTATTATTTTGTCTTTTGCATTTTATTATTTCACATCTTCATTTATATTATTCTCTACCCCACCCTTTTATAATCTCTACCCTCATTAACAATGTTGCTAACTTGACCCACGTCCAATTTCTAGTCAACTATGTTACGTCATCCGATTAACTTACTTATTTTCAACTGTATTATTCTCTAACCCCACCCTTATTTAATTTTAAGCACCACTCATTAACACTGTTGCCAACCTGACCTACTCTGAATTCTACTCAACTGTGTTACGTCATCCAATTCACTTAATCAATTCTATTTTATTTTCTATCTTAGCGTTTGTCTCCAAGTCAAAGAATACTTACATTACATAATTATCTAAACTTTATAAATCTAATGTACACACACACACACAAAATTGTATATATATGCGATTGTACAGCTCAGTGAATGAATTCGCCGAAAAAAGTCTCTTCGCTGAACGCCTTCTTTTCTTCTGTTTATTTTCTTATATTATCCTTTACTCTCCTCCCGTTATTTCTTCAATACGTCTCTGCTTCTCGAGGCATGGACTAGGAGTCTGTGTGTAATATTCAAGATGATGCCTAACAAACGTTGAGTGGAGTTCGTTAAACATTTCCTCTTCTGAGAATTTGAAAGTCTTTTCAAACACCTTGGCTGCGATGTATAATTTATAACTGATATCAATTCTCATGTCGTTTTATTTCCTTTACTGCAGACAACTCCTTTCTCCACTTTTCTCTTAGTTGTGCGTTGAGATGAAAATCATTAATCTAGGTGTATTCTCGCACTTTTCTAACTTAAGTGAATAGAGCATACGTCTAGTTTATCGAAATCTTATAATCCGCAGGTAATGGTGAAATTAAAATTTCAGGTTATCCGTTGACCTATAACGAAGATAGCAAAAAGACCTACAACAGTGTTTGGTGTTACTCTAATCGAGACTGGTTTCTACCCAGAGTACTCCATTTACTCCCATGCTTTGCATTCTACCTTAATGAACCGCTTAGGGTGTTATCTCAGATCAAGCTCTATGGCCTAAGTGGGACACTATCAAGTCCCATATATGTTATTTTTCCCTTAATTACCTTCTTTTGTCTCTTTATCCAAGGAGGTTTATGAAATGGCCTCCAATGTATAGACTGAGGATTACAAAGCGATGTAACATATTCAAATGCGTTCCTATATTTCACTCAGGCAGCTTCGGTAACATAGTCGATTTTGACAAACCAGTTGGCTTAGGCTGTCTCATTCCTGGTTGCTAATTTTTCAGCTCACCAAATATTTCGATGGCAAACTGTTGGCCTGTGTAGACGCAACTTCTATATGGCCACTGCTTCTTATAGGTGTTACTGATAACCTCCTTTTAGAGTGTAGGTAGCAAGTTAAGAACGGAGGGGTCATGTTCTAGGTCATACGGTGTTGGTATATGTACATTCTGTACAAGTACATATTCTAAGACAATTAGTATATGCTCGCTATTGAGACAGTTGTACAAACCATTCCATGTTAACCTCTCCGATTCGATGTATAAGGCGATACTGCTTCCAAAACCTATTACATGCAGGTGGTTTGATGTGAAGTCATCAGCTTGGCAGCCTAAACTTTGGTACATAACTCTCGTGGTTACAAGTAACCGCCTCTTGGGTATCACTGTCATGGACTTGTGACATCGTTGACTTCATCCCTACGCCTTTTGTAATATACGGAATTGTATCACCATCTTTACAACTAATGTCACTACCTACCCTGACATAGACATATCATAGTTTAAGTGGAGTGTGATGCACTTCCTTATTAATTATGCTTCAATAATTTTTACAATGTCAATTTGTGGTCTTTCAAATAATTCGTCGAATTCAGACGCCTTGTTTATGCCATATAGAAATACCAAATTGTTCATCTTAATTGTCCACAGAGATCCACGTAAACGTCTGGAACCTCAATTCCTTAGAGTTTTTCAGCCAATTCTTCAATTCAACTGCGGTTTCTCTCTTCTCAGTCCCATTTCCTAATGGCTAATCAAGTCTAATTTTCAAATTCCCATTCAGAATGGTGTTCTTTTCTTTCTGATTATGTAGTAAGACATTTGGTAGTCTGTTGGAACTGTCACCAACTTCTCTGTTACGTTCACCAATTCTGTTGACTTTTCTAAAATGTACGGCGACTAGTGTTTATGAAATTAGTTACCAGGATATTGTTTTCACCAATCCGAGACCATGTTTATGACGTATAGCTGGACTCGATTCTACAATCTTTTCAATATTCTCAACAGAATCAGAATTCTGTTCTACATTAGGGGTCGTAGAGACCTTTACATTATCTGCCGTAATATTTCTCGGTTTCTCCCGTTTACATATGGCCATATAGAATCAGATGCATTCACCATGGTCTCGCTACAAATAAGAGCCAAATATTCATTAGTTGGTATATTGGCCAGCCGGTCTAAAAAGCTTGTCCTCTTAAGTCGTCGAGGCACTCTCCAGCTACTAATATTAGATTATTTTGGACTTTGGTTCTTCCTGTTAGTCGTTACCTTGTGGTGAATTTCTGCTTCACCCTCTTGGTTCTGCTCAAATTTTCCTGCCATGGCACTATCCTAAAATCCCAGCTTGTAGTCTTCTCCTAATTTTAGTGTGAAATTCTTGAATATCAGAAATCCAACTGTCTATTGCATAAAAACCTTGATAGATTCCTGACCAATAGCTGCTACCTTGACGTGATGGTCAGGCTTGCAAATCGCAATGACCCAACAAGCTACACTGGCTTGAACTATTATTCCTGCAGGTTCTATCATACCAAGAAGGTTGTTAGGATAGCGATTAGACTAAAAGCAGTTACCGGCATACTGTAATATTCTTTGTGGCTGGAGCCGTACTGCTGGGAAACAGGGATGTAACAGTAGTGAGGTGTTTCCCTCAGAAGATCAGCTTTCAGCCGGCTATTTTGTCTTTCCACTCTGGAGAGAGGGGATTAGGAAAGATCGAGTCCAAAAATTGTACATCCTAACTTACTCTACGGTGGTCCGCAACCGGTGGTAATACGGAATCAATCCAAGAAACCATTTCATACAAGCCGTGTTTAACCGGTCGGCTTCAAGCAGTTGTCCCATGGGCTCTACGGTCACGCAACACTATCCCTTTTTCTGTTTCAAGTACCCGAAGAATCAGTCAACTTCCACGATGTGGGCAGCCGGGTACTAACAACTGCCCACACACTTCCAAGAGCACAGACAGACAGACCTTGATAGATTTACTTGTTGCATAACATTTCAGTGCATAATGTATGTCATCCACTAGAGAGTGAGCTCAAAACACTTGAATCCGCCTCTTGCAGAAACATAAACAAAAATGACAAAACCGCAAAACAATCTGAAACTCTGTACTGACGTGAAAACGGTACAGTATTCTTGAAAAATGAAATAAACCCTTCTTTAGCTGAACTATTCAAATAATAGCCTATGATGTGATTGACACAAAAAGTTGGAATACTTGATAATGAAGTGGAAAATTCCACCCTTCTCTCAATGTGTATACCAAAGCTTGGGCAACTCTTACTAGTTATTACAGATTAAACTAAGACTAGATGAAGGAAAGCTAGGTTACAAACAAAACAAAAACGTATTTTGCTATATTGAAGTTTATAAAAGGAAATAATTGTAGAAAGTTAGTTTTGTTAAGGAAGATTTGTTTATTCCTTCACCTTCATACACTGATATTTTATTTAAAGGTTATTGCTTCTTTGAGTGAGTTTCCTAGAATTTGTAACTTCGTTTCGTCAATGCATCCATTCTTTGTAATCTCCCAGATCCATTAAATCCTGACGTTTTTCCATGTTACTATTCTTTCTCACGTACACTTCCGCTCCTTACAGTTTGTTTTTGGAATTTTGTTTACCTCTCTTACCGCTGTCTTTGTGTTGTACATGAACTGCGGCAATTCGAGCTCCTGCAGTTCTGTGCAAAGTTTTTTGTCGAAACTCAACCAGTCGACTATAGTGAAACTCACTGTGACTTGATTTCCGATGGACAGTTATCTCATGAGTCCATATAACTTTAATCATGCGTATTTTAAAGTGTTGGTTTTCAGGGATCAGATTAGTTGCAGAATTTCATCATGAGCTGACATCAGTTAGAGAACCAACATCATTAAGCCACTAGGATCGGATCCAATAGCTAGCCCATGAATTCGAATGTCTGCCAGTTTACGATATAGCGCGACCACCAGCTAGTGTCATCGGTGAGTAACCATAAGGTTCTGGGTTCGAATCCTGGTGATGGGTGCTCACCGATGAAGAGTCCCAAACTAGGCTGACAAAACAGCTGTCTGGCAGTACTCCCAGTTGATTTTCCAATGGCTCTCCAACTGATGTGTCAGCTCATGATGAAGTCCTGTAGTTATTCGTATTTTGTTAAAAGCTGTTGGTATGTTTTTCAACTGGTAGTTATAATAAGTAGGCTACTTTATACGTATGGCTAATATTAGTTTATATTTCCATTACTTTTTATAGGAAAACGCATTTTTTGTCATTTTGAAGTCTTAATACGATCGAAGAATCTCATGTGCGCATAACTCTGTGTTCTGTGCCTAGTACAACTGATCACAATAGGATGACATCAATTCTGGTTTGTTTATTTATTATGTATATTTGACATTTTAGATTTATAGTCCCGTGTATACTCTACCGTAGCTAACAGTCGTAATCGTTATTTAGTACAATGTAAGAAGCATTTAAACGAAATCTTGAAATCTGGTGTACTTGGTGCTGAAGCAGCTACCCTGGATGTAGTTGAGGTAATGAATACATTAATTCACTGAAAAGTTGTCGAAATTTATGAATGATTGAACAGGTTATTTTCTGTTATTTGCTTATTTCATTATCATTTACACTTAAAAGCATTCATTTTGCAATGAATTCCAGATATGAGATATACCAGTTGTCACTGCGTATATCTACCCTTCCAATATCTTCTATCGATGAGGTGCTTGATTTCAATTGGTCGGAAGGTTGTATAAAACTCTGATATCATTTCACCTTAAACCTTGCATTTGCATTTTAACCTGTTGAATAAACTAAATCCTGCAGGTAATTTGAACAGTTTTGAAAAGACAAATTTCAAAGTCCATTGCTCATGAATGGATCAGTAGACCCTGTGGTTACACAGAATTGCCCCCCCCCCCATGTAACACTCGATCTACAGGAGATGAAGTGACTCAGCATCTCAAGCGTTGTGAAAATTTTCACAGTGGAAGATAGTTGGAAAGCCTGAATTTCGAACCAATGACTTCTGGATTCGAAAGAGGTAAACGAACTGCAGACATTTTTTGATTAATAATAACGATGGCTAATGCTACTGCTGTGCTGCGATATGTGTATCAGACTCGAAGTCGAAGGTAGCTTAAGGTAATGAAGATGTAATGTAATCACTTGTTAAACATTAGGTATGCAGCCAGTTAGCGCCTTAACCCTTTCACAGATATAGAAGGAGGATTTTATTTCATTATTATTTGAGGTGATTCGTTTTGTTGATACGTGATTACTGTTCTAGTTTTGAGGTTAAATGAGTTGATTTACGACATAATTGATGATTATTCGACAGGTTAAAATCATCACTGATTAATTGCATTTAGGAAAACAAAACACGCGTATAGTTCAGCGAAGAGGCAGAGGCTCTTTTCGGTGAATTCATTTCACTCTTTAGCTGTATAGTCGCACTTATATCCGATTTCTTTTTTCTTTTTGACGAAAGAGGGTAGTAACAAAAGTGATGAGTTGTCAATCCACAAGAAGAGTTGAACAACAATTGTATTAGAGTTAAGTAATAAGATGAATAATTTAATCAGGATTCATATAGAAATACAGTTAGCAGAATGTGGGATAGTGTTCTTGAACCTATTTTAGATAGGATCAACGTCGAACGACCAGTAAGTATATATATTACCTGGCTTCACAGTAACAGGTGGACTGATATATGCATATAGAAGTGGTCAGATGCGAGATCTTATCTTTAAGGCTTCTACAGACCAATAGGATGGCTGGAGGACATTACTCCTATCGTTACTGCGAAGAATATTCTCAGTGATGGTGAAATTCTCTTAAGGATATCGCAAGTTATGTCTCCTCATCCCCCCTTGAACTCCAGGTACATGAAATAAATGTTCTCTTTTGGAACAAGTATTATTGCGTTCTTCTGGGGATTTAGGTCGTGTTTATCTATAAAAGTTACGACTAACTTAATGAAACACCGCAAAACATAGGTACACATTTGAGGAAAATGACGTTTACACATACATCTTGGATATCCGAAACGATTATATGCTTGAATAATGCTTATGAACTTAGTGTATTTTAAATGAACAGAAGTTGAGGGAATGACTCCCTCTAGCTATTTTTCATTCCTTTTTATCGCGAGTGGAACATACGGCTTCATTCTTTTGGATTTTCATTGACGGTAGTGTCTCCTCTTTTACAGGTGGTGGGGTTGCTAGTCTTACTCTCAACCTTCTCTGTTCTCCTGGTTTACAATTAGGTGGCAAAATTAGTGAGGTTTAAGGAGTGCGTCTGTCGAACGGGAATCGAATCCAAGCCTCCCACGTGACTTACTCTAGTCAGTATTTTATATTTCTGTAGCTTTGCTTCATTTCTATTTAAGAGTTAAAGCTTTAACCATTCAAAAAGTTGAGAAAAACAAATTTCTCTTTTATTCGTATGAACAAGCAACCAATAGTATTTGACTTAGTATTTGACTGGCTTAAATGAAATAAAATGGTTAGAAATGGAGTTATGTATGATTGTGTAAACCAAGAGACATATGCTACGGTCGACCACATATAGAGTCTATTGAGAGGTTTTGAATCGCTGGTAGAAACTACTACAGACAGCAGTATATATATATATATATATATATATATATATATCTGTCTGTCTGGATTCAACATAGAACTTGGCACCGAAGTGCAGCAGTTCCAGTTGCCACGTTCCAAATAGCACACAAAGGTAGACAAGAAAATGAATGAAGAGAATCAATAGAGTTTGACAGGTATAAGAGCGAAACAGAATGGGTAATGGTAGAAAGGGATATCAAAGATTACAGAGACTGAATACATCTGCGCTGGCCATTGTGACTGTGTGACACAAGCCAACGGCAATTTTCACTTGTATTATTATTATTATTACTACCCTAGCTGTTATCATTATTATTGCTATTTCCATTTTATATGCTGCATGTTTTTGACACTACCTCTATTGTAAATGTGGAAATTTTTCTGTGTGATTAATTTTATTTATAATTTGAGGAAATTAGATGCAATATTGTGATTAATGCTGAAAATTCCAATCTGTATCACAAGTACTGTTTTTGGAATAAAGTAAATCATTATTATTATTATTATTATTGACAACGATTCTGAGCCATATCACCTATTGTCTCCAGCCATTGATTCCTAGAGTCGCGAGGGCCCCAACCCGGGAGTCTGCATCTCCCTACCTGACTCAGTTTAACTGTCAAGGATTTATTTCATGGATTGATGCCATGTTTTTGTTTGGCCACCACTGGCTCTTTTCCAACCTTCACCTATATCAGCTAGTAATGCCCGTCGAGCGGGGGAGGCAATGGTTAGGCATGCGCAGCCCGTGACCTAGCCATCTCAATCTATGTAACTTTATAGCCTTGTCGATTGTGATTTTCCCTCTTCGCCCAACACTCTACACCTAACATCAACATTACTTACCTTATTAAACCACCTAACGTGAGAAAGAGATCGTAGACATCTATGACTTCAGCGATTCAGGGATTGACTTGCTACCGGGGAATAATCTCGTTGACTTGGAATATGCAGACGATATAGTCCTTCTAGGCGAAGACGCTGACAAAATGCAGAGTCTTCTAAACACCTTGAACAGCAATCTACGAATGTTTGGCATGCGATTCGCTCCCGCCAAATGCAAGATGATGTTACAGGACTGGACTACATCGACGCCTAGTTTAAAAATAGGAAGTGAGGTGGTAGAGTACGTTGACCGCTTCACTTATTTGGGAAGTACCATCAGCCAGCGCCAACGGGTTGATCTCTGACGAAATCTCAGCACGAATACAAGGGGCCCGTTTCGCATTTGTTAGTTTACGTCGTCTCTGGCGTAGACGAGATGTTCGACTATCGACCAAAGGGCGGGTGTACTGCTCATCAGTCCGCTCCGTCCTCCTTTATGGTTGTGAGACCTGGCCACTGAGAGTGGAAGACATGAAAAGATTAGCTAGCTGTCTTTGATCATAGGTGCCTGCGTTCTATTTCCCGTGTAAAGTGGCATAATAAGGTGAGCAACATGGAGGTTAGGCGTAGAGTTCTAGGTAAACAGGGGAAATCAATCGACGAAGTCGTGAAGCTACAAAGACTGAGATGGTTAGGACATGTGTTACGTATGCCAAGTCATCGCCTCCCTCGACGAGCTATGTTAGTGGATATAGGGTCAGTCTGGAGAAAAGCTAGCGGTGGTCAAACAAAAACTTGGCATCAGTCAATGAAATCCACAACAGTTGGTCTTAGCCACGTAGGAAGGTGTAGACTTCCAGGCTGGGGTCCTCGGGACGGTAAAAATCTATGGTTGGAAACAATTGGTGACATGGCTCAAAACCGTTCTCAGTGGCTAGCGCAGATGCATCCACTCCCTGTGACTTATGATCTTCAATGAAACTGTTTTGTATTTCTTTATTACTCCTTTGTCTCACACCTCTGCTCACTGTTTCTATTATGCTTTTCTTGTACTTTCTTCTCTTGCTTCGTGTGCTACACGGAATGTGGCGACTTGAACTTCCGCACATTTGTGCAAAGTTCTATGTCGAAAACAGACAGACATGATCAAAAACAGTCAACCTTTTCATATCTTCAACTCGTATTGGCCATGTTTCAGAGCCGTAGAGAAGGATGAAGCGAACTGCTGAGTGGTACACACATCCCTTGGTTGATAGCCAGCCGGATGTCACGCCTACGCCAGAGCCAGAGACGGTGTAAGTCAGCGAAAGCAGCTCGGGCTTTTTGGATACGTGCTGAGATTTCGTCACCAGTTATTTCTACGCTTCTCTAGTAGAGCTGACTTTCATTTCAACATTTCAGCCATATTTTTCGAGGTTCGCTAGATAAAAAGAAGAATAAGTGTTCTAGTCAGTTTAGCGTCTTTTAGCTCATTGTTACAATTCAGTCTGACTACTGTGTCATAAGGTTGAATGTAGAGAGCTAGGTAACACGAAGGGAAGTCAGTTGATGAGATTGTAAAGTTATGTGTATTGAGATAGTTAGTTAGGACAGGTACTCCGCATGCCGGACCGCTGCCTGATACTATACTAAACCACGAAATCCTTAACACTTGGTATGAGCCACGTATGAAGGTGTAGACTGTTTGTCCGGGGTCCTCGGGATGCCAAGAAACAATGGTTAGAGACTGTTGGTCATATGGCTGGAAATCTTTTCAGTAGCTCAGATCCTCTAACCCTTTGTGATCAGTCAAATCCACTTAAACCTCCTGTTTTTCGATGCTACTGCTCTTTTTTCTACACATTTCTCCTCACAACAGTCATTTTAAATCTCTCCTATTTCTCTACCTTTGTGTACTACGTGGTGTGGCAACTTGAAGTGTTTCACTTCTGTGCAAAGTTCTATGTTGTAACTTAGTCAGTTATACTCTAATTTCTCAACTGTCCATAAACTGTATGTTTCAGTAACTCGATAGTTGGCGTTTTAGTTAAGGAATATTAATGAGATTTCGAGTTGTGTTTGGAATCGATTTTGTACATGATGAAACTTAAGTCACAAAATTGTCATCAGTAAGCTTTAGCATTACAGCCGATGTAAATGTATCCTTCACTGTAGGACCTTAAGATTACTTGTAAAGTGTAATTAGTAAGATATTGGTATTTGAAATAATGGATACCAATTTTTGAGCCCAATAAACTTCCTGGATTATACGCGTAATTTTGTGTTGTGTCGCAGCTGAGATGAAACACTTATTCCAGACTCTGCTACTACACGTTACCGGAATGCTAACTAAAAGTATGGTTGCGTCGTTAGAAGGCTAGAAGTGATTTGAGTAGGCCGTTAGACTGATTCTTGAAGTCTTCGCCTGTCGTTAGTAATCGCTTATGAAATTGTTAGCTTCTTGGTCAGAGATGCCGCCCCCCCCCCGCTAACTAGGCAGATGAAGTGAAAGGTTTAACATAGTGTTGCTAAAAAATCGATTGTGCACGCAAGTGTGTATAACTGCTGTCGAAGCTTTCATGACTATTTAAACATAAACCTAATGCTGTATGGATGCCAAAAGATGCACTACTCTAACGTGAAGGCTGAGATACTACCCGGACGCCTAGACTTAGGCAGGTTGTTGTCTTATGGATTACTTATCGAGCCTTTGATTTAACGGCAGCAGAGCAGCGCTAGAAGCAGCTGCATTCCTGTGGTTGTAGGTGATCGAAGTGGGTCTCTAAGTCATTCGACTTTCTCGGGTTCTGGAGCCCATGCCCACCACAGGTTTGGAGTCAGGGTTCCCCAACTCCCCTAGGTGGATCTCCGTGTCCACCAGCCCGTTGGTAAGCACTGGACATCCGCATCCCCTGTCTCACTTTTGTGAAATTAGGACAGGATAAGAACGCGTGACCCCATGATGAAAGCATTTGAAGAGGAAAACCGGAGTCTACCAACCTTCAGCTGTGCCAGGTCACTTATAGTGTGCGTGTTGTTTATTTATATTTATTCGTTTAGCTTATACCTGGAGATAAATATGCAAGAATTGATGTCAATTGTGTATTACCAGTGTGTAATAATTTCACGACAACATCAACAAAGCAAACGTCTGCCACATTGGCTTTTCGTATTCAACAGTATATGAACAGTGGAGATAGTGAATTAAGGTATGTATATGTATATTTTTAAAAAAGGAATTCTTATTAATTACTGCGATTTCGTTTAGATCATATCTACAGAAAAATTATCCTAAAATGAAAATTCCTATTTTCCAGTTTTGTGTTACTCAACAGACGTATAAGGTAAGTAGGTGGATAATATATTTGCTTATAATGTGTTCTGTGAATATCTGGTGTACGTGTTTTAATTAAACGAATTATATATATATATATATATATATATATATATTGCGAAGTGGTCAAGCTATGTCGTGAACTGGCAGAAGTTAGAATTCAAGAACCATTGGATCGGGTCCCAGTGGCTCAATGGTCTACGAGCTCGCCTTGTTACCAGAAGGTCCTGAGTTCGAACCCCGGTGGGTATGTACTGCTGAAGAATCCCAAACTGGGACGAAACAGCTGTCCAGTACTCCTAAGTGGTTTCCCAATGGTTCTCTAACTGATGTCAGCTCATGGTGAAATCCTCCATACAATCAAACAAAATCCCTACAAAACCAACACTTGAAAATATATATATATATATATAATTACTATCATTATTATTGTTTCCTTTAGTTCCTAGAGGAAAATAGGGCTTCAGACGCACGTCTCCATTGCGTTTGGTTCCCTCCCAAAGTTTTCACCCATCTCCACGTCTGCCCATATGCTTTCATCTCCTCCTCCGTGTCACCCTCGCACTGACGACCAACTAGTCTCTTCCCGTTCGGGTTCCACTCGAGTGATGGCCTAGCGTGTGATGTCACTTGATAGTTTTCTCAGAGTATGGCCAATCCACCTCCATTTCTCCCTGCTTATTTGTTGCACAATCGGTTCTTGGTTTGTTGGTTCGCTCCCTGAGAACCCTCCCTGTTGCTGTATTGTTAGTAGCTATGACTTCACATTGCAGTTGAAAATCCGGATCTTACTTTCCATACTGAGTGCTGTTGATCCCCACACAGACTTGAGAGTAGTGACAGCTTGCCTTGCTTTCACGATCCTCGCCTTAATATCCTCGTCAGTTCCGTCTGCCTGGAGTTGAAACGATGCTTCTCAGGTAGATAGGTAGGTAGGTGAAGGAGGTTGCTACTTTCAGATTTCTACTATTTATTCTGGTTATTGTCTGTTGTTGTTTTTGTTACTGTTGCTGTCGGCCAGGAATTTTCATCACCTCTATTTTCTCTATGTTCACCAGAAGGCGTATTTTTGATGCTTTTTCTGTCAACTTGTTGCTTTTCACTTGCATATCTTCCAGTTTGTGGGAGATCAGACATTTATCATCGGCGAAGTCCAGATCCTCCAAGTTTTTTGTGTGAGTCCATTTTATGCCTGTTTCCTCGTTTCCCGCTCTCTGTCCGTCGCATTATCCAGTCTACCGCATTCAAGAAAATCATTGGAGATAGTAGGCAGCCTTGTCTTACTCCCGTCTTCACTTCGGAGGATTCTGTGGGTTCCCCATTGTTGATTACTTGGATGCAGCGTTGTTGTACAACTGTTGGATGAGACATACAATTCTTGACGACACCCCGTAGTAGTGAAGTAGTTGTCAAATCACCTCTCGATCGATGCTATCTGAGGCCTTTTCAAAGTCAATGAAGTTGAGATAGAGAGCTGACTGCCATTCCAAGCTCTGTTCAATGATGATCCGCAGTGTTACGATTTGATCGATATATATATATATATATAGTTACTCTTGGTGCGTCGTCAGTGATTCAGGGGTCCAGCGTAACACCAGACCTAGTGGGCCTAGCTGGGCACGTAGTTGAGTCCAGACACCAGAAGGATACAGAATATACTATTGCAAATATGGATGGGATTCAGACTTAGAGGCGTTCAGTCTTAATCCCTCAGGTGATGGCTTCGCACAATCGGCCTTTCAACCAAGCACATATACTAATTGTCTGAACCTGAAGTCCCTGTCATACTAAACAGGATTACCATAGTAACGGCTCGATTGTACTTCACTAATTAGTATACTCATTAATAGGGTGAAACTAACCTGTGTCTCGACGGTTTAAACCCAGTTCGTGTTCCGTATTAGTGGGTTAACGATGCAGCGCTTGATGAATTGTACTTCACAGTGATAGGAAGAGCTTCTCTTAGCCAGTTGTAACCCCAGCAAAGAGGTCAGTTTGGGTGTGAAGGCCAGCAACCTCACCGTGTAAAAAGAAACACTACCGCTACTGGAACCTTCAAGATTCAAGCGTGAAACTATTCTATATTCCACTCAGAACGCAGAGGATTGAGACAATATACCTATTCGTTAGCAGTGCTTTCTATTATAGTCATTAAATATAGATAGGCGAACCCCTTAGCAGTAAACTGCCTATTGTTCCAACTCCAGTTTCTCATTCTACACAATAGGTTTTCAAGTATTGGTTTTGTAGGGATTTTGTTTGATTGTATGGAGGATTTCACCATGAGCTGAGATCAGTTAGAGAACCATTGGGAAACCACTTAGGAGTACTGGACAGCTGTTTCGTCCTAGTTTGGGACTCTTCACAGTACATACCCACCAGGGTTCGAACTCAGGACCTTCTGGTTACAAGGCTAGCGAGCTCGTAGACCATTGAGCCACTGCGACCTGATATAATAGGTTTTAGTGTCTGTTAAATCATAACAAGTTGATAGGATGGACTATTGTCAGGCTCTTGCTTATCAATGAGTTAGTTAGTCATTATTATTGAAGATTGTTCAAAGTGGATTAAAACTGGCGGACAGTTTCAATCTGAAATAAATTGTGCTGCATATCTGAGAAGTATTGATTTTGGCAATAGTAGTAGGGTGGTGAGAGAGCTGTCTGCTAGCCAAAATTAGTAGACGCCAATTTACGTCAATGTTTACGTCCCAAATCTTGATCATGAGAAAAAAAAACAAGAACAAGGCCTAACACCTTGAGAAATTCAATCAACCAATTACAGCAGACTTTGCGTGGGCGGATACGATTAGCAGAAATATCAACGGACTGTCTAAGAAATGACAGAATAACCTTTAGCAGGAAAACAGCCAATCAGAAGACTCCACCTATTTGCTAACAATAACGAGTAATAATGTAGATAAAAATCTATAAATATCTGTTGATTTTTTCAATAAACGATCAGTTGGCTGACCCTTGTCTTCTAACGTTACAGTAGTAGTTGTAGTAGTGTGGCGTGCCATGCAGATTGATGGGAAGCGACCGAAACTTAAATCAATCAGTGGCTTTAGCAGAGTTAGAAGTGTTTACCCCTTAAATTTGGATTTAATTGTCTACATTGTGGACATGGAATAACCTCATTGGACCACTCCTTTAACCTTGAGGCGATTACCAACCAATCAGAACAATTTATTCTCCTCTGACCTAGCCGTCACAGTAGTTGTAGTAATTTTTCGCTATGTTATACGAAACCGTTTTTTGAAAAGTTAGTGGAGGTTTTCTTCTAGGTGTATTACTTTGTGAAATGAAATTGCCAAATAAAGTGAGAAACTCTGATGGATTATTCTCTAACAGTGTATGCGTGGAGTTATCATTAATGGGAATGCTTTTCCGCCTACCTCTAATAATGTTTCTGCGTGGAGAACGAACAGCTTTCTTCAGCTTATCGACAACCTATCAGTGTGAAAATCTACTGCACTTAGTACGAGTAACAAGATCTGGATTTCCAACAGTTATGTCAAGTTAGTCAGTGCTTCTATATGCTTCGTAGATTTGCCACACGTTAGTCACGAAAACCATTTCCAGTAGGCTACTGTTAACTTTGAAGTTTTTGCAACGATTGGATTCTTTTTTTCGGAGTAGGGTTGCTAACCCCACTGCCGACCTTCCTTCTTTTCCTGGGCTTAGAACCCACTAAAAACCAATAAACTAGGCGAGGTTAATGTCAAGTTAGAACATAATATCAGATAACCAGAATTCTATTCGGAAAGAGTTCAACACTGATGAAACCAATGAAAGACGGTCAAGGGAACCTGGTTACTAAAGAGGGGAAACAAAGAATACAATAGGTTGATCACTTCAAAGAACTCCTTAACCGATTGTCGTCACCTGCATCTCGTCCAGAAATACCACCAATAGCGCACATAGATACGAATTCTCCAACGAAAGCATAAGTCCTAGATGCAATCAAACTATTTAATTCATGGATAATCCCCATCCAGGTATTAATGAAAACAAAACACGTAGTTCAGCGAAGAGTCCCTTTTCAGCGGCGAATTCATTTTCTTAGCTGAACAATCCCAAATATATGTGTTGTTTTGTATGTAGGTGTACATTAAGTTTGTCAAACAAAATTACAATTGGTTTTGGTTATTTTAACTAAACAGGTGAAGATTGGTAATTGGAGTTACGTAATACGAAATAAGTCAAGAAAATTAGGTGTTAATGAAATTAGGGTAGTAACAAATGGTGGTGACTTGTCACAAACAGTTGTTTCGTCTTCTTTGTATCGCTGAAGCTCTGGCCATTCACATAGAAAAACCGGAACTGTGCATAAAAAAGAGGATTACTCAACCGCTTCTACTGTCATGGTAACGATTTTTATGATTTTAATGAATCAATTTTGTTTGTTTGCCTGTTCTTTAATCGCCTATAGTTCTTGTATTCATTTAGAACTCTTACGTAATTTCGTATTATCTACTTTGTTTCTATGTGCATCTTCAGTAAAACTCAATCATCAAACTATTCATATTATTATTACATAACTTCCCTTTAACAACTGTTTGTGACAAATCACCACCATTTGTTACTACCCTAATTTCATTAACACCTAATTTTCTTGACTTATTTCGTATTACGTAACTCCAATTACCAATCTTCACCTGTTTAGTTAAAATAACCAAAACCAATTGTAATTTTGTTTGACAAACTTAATGTACACCTACATACAAAACAACACATATATTTGGGATTGTTCAGCTAAGAAAATGAATTCGCCGCTGAAAAGAGACTCTTCGGTGATCTACGTGTTTTGTTTTTGGACTATTGAAAGCCGGAGAGGCAGTAAGATCGGAAAGAATTCCTCGTGAAGCAGTGAAAACCACGCCACTATTGCAAAAAGTCTCGAAGGAAGAAACGATATCTGTGGACTAGGAAGAAAGACTACCTTGTCAAACTACCAAAAAAGGATGATTGGAACCTCTGCAAGAACTAACGCAGAATCATGCTCTTTTCCACGCCAAGTAAAACAAAAAGTCAAGTCATCCTGGAGAGAATAAAAGACGCACTGGATGCAGAACTCCGCCACCCAACGGAACAAGCTGGCTGGATTCAGAAAAGGCGAATCATGTGCTGATCAAATTGCAACTCTATGCATCGTCATCTAACGGAGCATAGAATGGCAGTCAAACTGTGACTCTCAAAAGGCCTTCAACAGCGTTGACTGTGAAGTAATTTGGAAACTACTTCAACACTACGGGGTGCCACAAATCTTTATCAACCTCATTCAACAGCTATATGACCATTCTGTGTATCAAGTAACTCATAATGGAAAACTCAGCGGTGCGTTTGAATTGAAGACGGGAGTAGGACAGGGCTGTTTACGAACACCGATGATATTCCTAATTTTCGTGAACTTGGTTATGCGAAAGACTGTGCATCGGGAGCGAGAAGACACTAATACTTTGTACCAATAAGAAGACTCTGCATGATCTGGAATTCTCAGGCTATCTATGTCTCATACCACACAGACTCGAAGAGCTACGGGAAAAAACTGACAAATTGTCAGAAGACACTAGCCATTAGAGAGAAGTACCAGGGAATAATCTCGTTGACTTAGAATATGCAGACGATATAGTCCTTCTAGGCAAGGACGCTGACAAAATGCAGAGTCTTCTGAACACCTTAATCTGCAATCTACGAATGTTTGGCATGCGATTAGCTCCCGCCAAATGCAAGATGATGTTACAGGACTGGACTGCACTGACTCACTCCTAGTTTAGAAATAGGGAGTGAAATGGTAGAGCACTCTGACCGTTTCACTTATCTGGGAAGTATTTAAGAAGTACCATCAACCCCAACGGGTTGATCTCTGATGAAATCTCAGCACGGATACAGAGGGCTAGTTTCGCATGTGTCAGTTTACGCTGTCCCTGGCGTAGACAGGATATCCGACTAGCTATCGACCAAAAGGCGTGTGCTGCTCAGCATTCTGTTCCATCCTCCTTTATGGCTGTGAGACCTGGCCATTGAGAGTGGAAGACATGAAAAGGTTAGCTAGTTGTCTTTGATCATAGGTGCCTGCGCTCTATCTTCCGTGTTAAGTTGTATAATAGGGTGAGCAATGTTGAGGTTAGGCCATCAGTCGATTGAGTGATAGGTAAGGAGGGGAAATCAATCGATGAGGCTCTGAAATTACATCGACTGAGATGGTTAGGACACGTGTTACATATGCCTAATCATCGCCTTCCTCGACGGGTAATGTTGGCTGACATAGGGTCAGGCTGGAAAACAGCTGGCGGCGGTCAAACCAAAATATGGCACCAGTCAATGAAATCTACAACAGTTAGTTTAAGCTAGTCACGTAGGGAGGTGTAGACTTCCTGGTTGGGGTCCTCGGGACGGTAAAAACCAATGGTTGGAAACAATTGATGACATGGCTCAAAATCGTTCTGAATGGCGCAAATGCATCCACTCCTTGTGACTTATAATACCGAATGAAAGTATATTGTTCTTGGTTATTACTATTCCTTTTGTCTTATATCCCTGTCTACTATCTCTATTTTGCATTTATTGTCTTGCTTTGTGTGCTACATGGAGAAAGTGTGGCAACTCAAACTGCCGCACATATGTGCAAAGTTCTGTGTCGAAAACAGGCAGAAGTAGAGAGAAGACAGGACTCCAAGTGAACGAAGAGAGGATGGAGGTGATGAAGAGAACCAACCAGCGACAACAAAAGCTAATCAATGTCAACGGAGGAAATTTGAATGAGGTTACTCCCTTCACTTATTTAGCTGGGCAGCGTTGTTCCAACTACGGGTGGTAGAACAGATAAGGATGTCAAAACTACGGTCAGAAAGGCAGGACAGACCTTCACTCATCTGTAGTCAGTGTGGATGTCTGTTGCAATCAGCATAAAGAAGAAAATTCGGATTTTCAACGGCAATGCCAAGTCAGTCAGTTCTCCTATATGGTTCAGGAATTCAGAATCCAACGGAATAATAATAATAATAATGATAGTTGACAAATCCTGCAGTTGGTATTTATTTAACACTTGTTACTTAGTGAGGAGTTTTAATTATTATTTCTCTTTCTATTCTGTTGGATACAGGTAGACGTATCCACCAATCACCAGAATGGCATACAATCGTCGACTGATTCATGTGGTCTTTCAACTTCACTGAAACCTAATAATATCTATGGTTTAGAACGGGATAAACTCTTAAAAACAATTAATTCAAGATTAAAAGTTTTACGAAAGAAATCACATCCATCAGAAGCAAGAAATTTGGTAAGTTATTTTTATTATTTCGTCATATTTGATAAGCGATATTTTTGTTCGAGAAAAATGTCTCTTACTATTGGGAGGCGGGGGGGGGGGAGTGTGCGTTAAAATTGTGATTGTTGTGTGACTAGAATATTTCTTTAGTCAGCGAATGTTGAAGTATAATCTTAGCCGAAGTCAAGGTCTTTCATAAGTTAACTTGTGAAAGGTTAGTTGACCGTCAAGAATCGATCACACACAGAAATTGCTATGAAATCTCATTCCAAATCAAATAATGACTGTCTTTTTGAACTTGGAGACGATGCTTACAGTGTATTGAGTGCTGTCTGCTAACCAAAATCGGTAGACAGCAATTTACGTCAATGTTTACTTCCCATATCTCGGTCATGAGAAAGAAACAAGAACAAAGACTAACTCAACAATCAATCACAGTAGACTTAGCCTGGGTGGATACGATTCGCAGATGTATGGTCTGACCTTCAAAGAAACGGCCGCAAAGGGATGAGAGAATAGCTTCCAGCGAGAAAACAACCAATCAGAAGACGCTGTTTCTCTGCCAATAATAATGTACATAAAAATCCATAAATATTTGTTGATTTTCTCAATAAACTTTTTCTCAATACTAACGTTGCATTACTACTTTTATAACAATCGTCTTCTTCAAATTGCACATTTCTGCTCTTCGGACGTGTTTGATTGGTCGATAGGCATTTGTCAAGATCTTTATTAGGTTGTTTCGTTTTGGGTCGCTATAGAGTGTAGAGTTGCCTTACTTTTTTTTCTCTTTTGTCTTCCTCTGTGGAACTGCTGCACTTCTACACAAAAAGTCTCTGTGGAAGACAGTCAGTTAATCAGTCATTGCCCATTTCATTCTTTTACAATTTTTTGTTGTTGTTTTTCAGGTATCTGAAGATTTTGGTGATGGGGATGACAATGAACTGGATAGAAAAAGTATCTCACTTGATCATAATGGTCAACGTGATGAAAATTCTACAATTGCATGGGCTAAATTTTGGAAAGAAAGACAAGATTGGCGATCAATAGCTAGACAAGAAAGACGGCGGGTTAATCAAAGTATTGGTTTAGATTATCTAACACATATGAACACAATAAAAAAAAAATAAATGAATAAAAAGGAAAGAACAGAAAGGTTATTATTGTTAGTTTGTACATAGTAAATAATTAATTGTACAATAAAATCATTCAGCCTTATTTTACAATGATGTTAGTTTTCAAATAGTTGGTTTCTTTTGCAGGGATTAGATTGATTTCAGGTGTGTTTGATCACGAAATGACTTCAGTTAGAGAAGCATTGGAAGCCATCAGGGAGTACTGGACACTGACTGACTGAGTGACTGGTTTCAGCGTAGAACTTTGCACAGATATACAGCAGATCGAGTTCCCACACTCCCTCTGTGTACCACACAAAGCAAGAGCAACGAGTAAAAAGAGATTTAAGAGTGTGTGAGAGAGAGAGAGAGGAACAGTAGACAGAAATGTGAGGCAAAAAGAATTGATACATGGAAGAACAACGGGATTCTATTGGATATTATAAATCAAAAAGAGTGAATGAATCTGCGCCAGCCATTGACGACGAGGTTTTTGAGCCAAATGACCAGTTGTCTCCAGCCTTCATTGGTTTATACTGTCCCGAGGACCCCAACCAGTCAGGAAGTCTACATCTCCCTACGTGTCTGGCTTAAACTAACTGTTGTTGATTTCATTGACTGATGAAGCCATGTTTTGGTTTGACCACCACTAGCTTTCTCTTTTCCAACCTGATCCATCCCATGTCAGCTAACATCGCCAGTTTTCGAGGAAGGCGATCGATGACTAGGTATGCCTACGTCACACATGTCCTAACCATCTCAATCGGTGTAACTTCACAACCTCGTCATCGATTGGTTTCCCCTCCTTACCTAACACTAGACTGATGCCCAACCTCATTATCACTGGACAATACTGTTTCGCCTTATGTTTTGGACTCTTCAGCGGCACGGACTCATGACCGATCTCACCAGGAATCAAGGCAGTTTCGCTGATCACCATTCAGCCACTGGGACGGAATCCAATGACCCATGAATTCTAAATTCTGCTAATTTTCGATATTGTGGTGCTATCCCGCCATGTCAGAGTATTTATCCTAACAGCCAACTTGATGGACCTGTTGGTGAGAAGTTATGACTAGTGGGGTACACTAAGTTGTTTTGTGGGGATTACGATTCAGTAAGGAGGTAGATTTCATCTCGAAAAGACATCAGTTGGAGAACCATTGAAGTCAAGCAGCACCGAATACACTTGTTGCCTTCATTATCTAAATTACTCAGTGATGTGCATACATTGCTCCTAAAGAGATAATTGTACCTGAGATTTCCCGGGTCAGAAGCACTATACTATTCAATCGTTGCTTTGTGATACTGTGGTGAGAGCTGTCTGCAAGCCAAAATTGTAGACGACAATATACGTCAATGTTTACGTCCCGTATCGGGGTCATGAGAAAAAACAGCAGGCAACAAAGCTTAACCTTGAGGAAATCAGCAACCAATCACAGCAGACTTAACGTGTACAAATACGATTCGCAGATATATGGCTTAACTTTCTCGTAAATGGCCACAAAAAGACAACAGAATAACCATCAGAAAGGAAACAACCAATCAGAAGAGGTTGCTTCCCACTAGCAATAACGCTGATTATAATGCACATAAAAATATATAAATACCTCTTGATTTTCTCAATAAACGATCTGTTGTCCTCTGTCTTGATACTAGATACCTCGCCAGATACTAGCTTGCTAGGCTACTAGCTTACTAGTTTTCTCGCCGGTCCCAAGCCCGGGTAAAGAGGGAGGGTTGGGGCGTGGTGCTAGCAACTCCACCCCTGTAAAACAACCAAATCGCTACAGAAACTTCAACGAATAAATATATTAAAAATTCTAAAAACATAAGCAATAGCCTTACTTTTCGCTGGAATCGGGGAAGTGAAATGACGCAGGCTGGTGAAAGCCTTCGGGAAGCCAGTCAGCCGATGTGCCTTCTTTCGATGAAAGCAAAAGTAAGGATGGGTACCTGGAATGTTCGTACAATGTACGAAACTGGAAAGGCTGCCCAGATAGCCGCTGAAATGAGAAGGTACAGAATAGAAGTGTTGGGAATCTGCGAAAGCAGATGGAACGGAACTGGAAGGTGCCAACTACCTACTGGAGAGACAGTAATCTATTCCGGCCACCTAGAGGACAACCATGAGCACACCGAGGGAGTGGCCATCATGATGTCACCAACAGCAACCAAAGCTCTCATGCAGTGGGAACCAATCTCCTCCAGGATAATGACAGCCAGGTTCAACTCAAAAGGAAGGAAAGTTACAGTCATTCAATGCTATGCGCCTACAAACGTCTCAGAACAAGAGAAGAAGGAGGCGTTCTACAGACAACTACAAGCAATAATGGACAACGTCCCAAATGGCGATATCAAAATCCTGATGGGCGACATGAATGCGAAGCTGGGAGGAGACAACACAGGAAGAGAACTCACCATGGGTCGTGAGGCCCTCGGCGAAATGAACGACAATGGTGAACTCTTCTTAGACTTCTGCGCCTTCAATGATTTGGTGATTGGTGGTAGTGTGTTCAAACACAAGGATATACACAAGACGACATGGATTTCACCAGATGGAAACACCAAGAACCAAATAGACTTCATCTCAATTTCAAGAAAGTGGAGACGGAGCCTACTGGACACAAGGTCAAGGAGAGGAGCAGATGTGGGTTCAGACCACTATCTAGTAGAAGGGACTTTCAAGGTGAAACTAAAAGCCTCGAGGATAGCTGGGGATAGGCCACAATGCAAGTTCAACACTCAGAAACTGAAGGACACAACCACAAAAGACACTTTCACTGCAACTGTCAGAGCAAAGCAGGAAACACTACGCGACATCACTGAAGAATCATGCGTGGAAGAACATTGGAAGTCTCTGAAGGCGATTCTCAACGAAACGTGTTCAACGGTTCTAGGAAGAAAGAAGAGACAAGACAAGGAATGGCTCTCAACGGACACTTGGAAATTAATAGAAGAGAGGAGAATGGTGAAAGAGAAAATGATTCAATGCAAGGACGGACAGGAGAAGGAGACGATGAGCTCAACTTACAAAGCACTGGACAAAGAAGTGAAGAAGAGTGCTAGGAAGGACAAAAGACGATTCTACGACAACCTGGCCACTGAAGCTGAGAAGGCAGCAGGCAAAAGGGACCTGAGGACACTATATCAGATAACCAAATCTCTATCCGGGAAGAGATCAACACAAGCGAAACCTATAAAAGACAGCCAAGGGAACCCAATTACCAAGGAAGAAAAACAGATTAAACAATGGGCGGATCACTTCAAAGGACTCTTGAACCGACCATCACCTGCAACCCGTCCAGAAATACCAACAACAGCGCGCACACAACTGCAAGTTGACACCAATCCTCCAACGAGAGCTGAAGTCTTGAACGCAATCAAGCTTCTGAAAGCTGGAAAAGCAGCCGGACCAGATGGAATACCCCCTGAAGCACTGAAAGCGGACCCAGAGACTACAGCAGACATGCTGACTCCATTATTGCAAAAGGTCTGGAAGGAGGGAAAGGTGCCTACTGACTGGAGGAAAGGTTACCTCGTGAAACTACCAAAGAAGGGCGACTTACGCCTCACTCTGCAAGAACTGGCGAGGAATCATGCTCCTATCGACGCCAAGTAAAATCCTGAGTCGCATCATCCTGGAGAGATTAAAGGACGCACTGGAGACAGAACTCCGACCAGAACAAGCTGGATTCAGGAAAGGCAAATCATGTACTGACCAAATTGCAACTCTACGCATCATCATCGAACAAAGCATGGAATGGCAATCAAACCTCTACCTCAACTTTATAGACTTTGAGAAGGCCTTCGACAGCGTTGACCGTGAAGTAATTTGGAAATTACTCGAGTACTATGGCGTACCCCAAATATTCATCAACCTTATTCAACAGCTGTACGACAACGGCACATGTCAAGTGATCCACAACGGAAAACTCAGCGAGGCGTTTGGAGTAAACACAGGAGTCAGACAAGGGTGCTTACTATCACCAATGATATTCCTAATTGTGGTGGACTGGATTATGCGTCAGACAGTGGGAAACGAGAAGACAGGAATATCCTGGACCGACGTGAAGAACCTAGAAGACCTGGATTTCGCGCGTGGATGATTTATGTTTGATGTCACACACAATCGAAGACTTACAAGCGAAAACCGACAAACTGGTCGAAGAAGCAGCCGGCGAAGACAGGACTCCAGGTAAACATAGACAAGACGGAGGTTATGAAAATAACCAACCAACAACAGCATCCAACGTCAATCACCATCAACGGGAGGGATTTGAAAGAGGTTACTTCATTCACTTATCTAGGGAGCATTGTCTCAACTACAGGCAGGGAACGGACGAGGATGTCAAATCGAGAATCGGGAAGGCGAGAAACACATTCATCAACCTGAAATCAATCTGGAAATCTTCGTCACTCAGCATCACCAACAAAATTCGGATTTTCAATACAAACGTCAAGTCAGTCAGTTCTTCTATACGGATCAGAAACTTGGCGGGGGTCACAAAGAATATTTCCAACAGCCTGTTGCAGACCTTTATCAACAACTGTCTTCGCTCTATACTGAAGATCAGATGGCCGGGCCGGAAAGAATCACCAACAAGGAATTATGGGAACAAACAATGCAAGAACCAATCGCCCAACAAATATGCAGGAGAAAGTGGAGATGGATCGGACACTCGCTGAGGAGACCGCTGGGTGACATCGCGCGTCAAGCCCTCGAGTGGAACCCGAAAGGGAAGCGGCGTGTGGGACGTTCAAGGGTGACATGGAGGAGATCGTGTGAAGAGGAGTTGAAAGAGAATGGACTAACATGGATGCAGGTGAAAAGTACAGTAGAAGACAGAATCAAATGGAGACGTGCAATTGAAGCCCTATGTTCCACTAGGAACCCAAGGGAGCAATAATAATAAAATAATGTCTTCTGTCTTTACAATAACATATTCATCATAGTTTTTACTAACTTCTGAATAAGTATCTGTATATCCAACCTCATCAATTGTTGTCAAATATGATGAGAACTTTGGGAAATACATCTTGAAAATTTGTCATTCAGTGAGTAGGAGGGACTACACAGTTACATATAATGTGGTGAATGGATTGATTGCCGTTTTTACCAGGAAATTGTTTCATAAAGATCGATCATGTGAGTCAGTCAGATACAAATTCATAGTAGAGTAGAGTTTACTGACAGTTTGGAAATACACTGCGATTAACA